TTAGGTATTTAAATGGAAATTTGTATTTTTTTCCTTTTTGGTCTCTCGTGACTAATTGAATTGAATTTAAATATTTAAATTATGCCATTATTTACTTTCTGCAATACTAAATTATTAATAGCTCATAAAAATTAATCTTATTCACAATTTATAAACTAACGTAATTTGCAAATAGTGAATAATTTAGGAAAGAAAATAAAATTAAAGCCTAATTCTCACTTAAACTCTTATCATTAATAAATTTACTTTTTATTACTCGGGTATTAAAACTAAATTTAAATTATTCAAAAAAATGGACACGTATTTCCATAAAAGCCAAAATTATTTCCTAAATTATTAACTGTTTACTAATTTAATTAGTAAATCCCGTGTATACCCTTTAAATTATATATGATTCAATAATTTAAAAATACTCTTTGTGGAATGCATGAAATAAGTCTATTACCATAGATGAATATGCAATACATTTAAGGTGAAAAGTAACTTAATTTTTTTCTAACTTAATATAGGAGCTAAATTAAATAAATTAAATAAATTAATTTAGCTCATATATTAAGTTACTTTCAACCGAATGAAAACATTGACGTGATTTCCCCATAACGTACAATTCAACCGAATGCCACTACAAAAAAAGTTATAATTATTTTTAAATATAATATGTGTCGCAATTTTTTAGTAATTAGCTAACCATGAATTACTACCTCCGTCCCACTTTCTTTGTCCACTTTTGACTTTTGGAACTGTTCATCTAAGCACGTTGACTCATCAAATTCTCTCAATGTATAAGCCTAAATATAGTCATGTGTGATCCTGTTTGATTTGTCTTAATATATAGATTATTAATATATAATTTCAATAATTTTTTAATATACAAATTACAAGATAAAATGGATTAAAAAAGTGCATTGGATGGTGTGCCAAAAGGTAAGTGGACAAACAGAGTGGGACGGAGGGAGTATATAGTAATTTTTTCAAAGTATAATATTTTTTTAATTAAAATAAATTTGGTTATTAAAAAGTCACTTACTTGTGGTTCTCCAAGGTAACTTCCATCATTTTTGCTCTGGGGCATTATTAACCATACGGGTTTCGGGCGCAGTTCGACTAACTACTTTCCCGATTATAACTGAAAATCCATAAAAATACAATTTTAAAAATTTCATAATCATAATACATAAAATGTATTTCATATGTGTAAGTATTTAAGTTATGTAAATGTAAATCACTCTTACCAACTAAAAAGACCTGGTCAGCAAATTTTGTTTTGAGTACATCTTCAAAACTCTTAAAGTAGAATCGAAAATTAGGAAATCCATTTTCTGTTAGTTTTTGAATCTTGGTCTTTCCCAAAAATAGGAGTATGCAAGGGTGATTGGTAGTTTTTGTGCCTTGGAAAATTGCGTAAAACCTTGATCCTCATGATTAAGTAAACCGCATTTTCTTCCAAAGCTTGTTTGAATGTGCTTATATCAGTATCTGTAATTTGAGCATGCATCCGATCTCCCTAACAACAAATATAAAACGTTAATCTATAATTAAATTTATATTTTTTGTTTAAAGATCTATTATATGTAAAATATAAAACAATGTAGAACTAACCTGTGAGTCGTGGAAAACAACATCCAACGATTCCGGCCCTCGAGAATGAGCAGCAACGTGGTAAACTCTAATTGCTCTTAGCTTCATCATCAACAACCCGTATTTTTCATGAACATTTTTTAGGGCGGTAATCATTCCCATGTTCGGCCAAAAACAGAGGTGAAGCACCGATTAATTAAAACTCTCTAAAACTCTCGTTTCCTGAACACTCGTTTAATTTTCTGGCATGGTAAGGTAGTGTATTTATACTATCCAGAATTTTCACGAAGAATTAAAGTTTTGTATGGTAATGGTAATTATAATTACATACAATTATGGTTTATTACGGTAATCTATTATATTATGGTAATGAAAGGAAATTGTGGTAATTACAATTAAAGTTTATGGTAACATATAATTCTTTTCTCTGGAATTTTAAGCAAATACAACTAAAGTTAATTATGGTAATTACATCTTTAAAAACCTTTTCTGTTACCTTTTATTATTACCATTCGTATAAATTGTTTTATTTCATACATTTTTATATACAAAAATATAGAAGCTAAATTAAATAAAATTTTCATTCATACCTTTTTTATACACATTTATATTAAATTACCATTAACATTCGTTGCCATTTTAATTACACGGTTATATTAAATTGCCATTTTTAGTTGAGCATTCGTTACCTTTTTTTATACACGATTTTTATACCTTTTTTATACACGGCTATTTAAAATTACACGGTTATATGTTGATCACAATTACCCTAATTTTATATTCACGGTAATATTAATTGAGTAATTACTCAATTACGGTAAGTAAATTAAATTAAATTTCCATTCGTTACCTTTTTTACACACGTTTATATTAAATTAACATTCGTTACGATTTTAATTACACGGTTATATTAAATTATCATTTTTAGTTGAGCATTCGTTACCTTTTTTATACACGGTTATTTTAAATTACACGGTTATATGTTGATCACAATTACACTAATTTTATATTCACGGTAATATTAATTGAGTAATTACTCAATTACGGTAACTAAATTAAATTAAATTTCCATTCGTTACCTTTTTTATACACGTTTATATTAAATTATCATTCGTTACCATTTTAATTACACGGTTATATTAAATTACCATTTTTAGTTGAGCATTCGTTACCTTTTTTATATACGGTTTTTATACCTTTTTCATACCTTTTTTATACACGGTTATTTTAATGATCCATTAATTACCATTTAGTAATTACCATATGGAGTGAAGAATTACCATATTTTCTACACCATGAAATGAGCGGGAAAAGAACAATGCAAATTCATGGCTTTTTAAATAATAGATAGATAACATTATCCATTTGATAAAATAATATAATCATGTCACATCATGTTTTGTTGATTTTTTCATTATTTTTAAATATGTAATTTTTATTTTTTAAATTTCATACGATTTTTTCATATAAAATGATTTGAAAATAAATTCGGTGAAACATTGTAACACGCAATGGGAACATTATTGTTGGAAAAAGGGATATTTGTTACTCCCCGTCCTGGATTATTTGTCCATTTTTTACTTTTTCAGTCAAAATTGGAAAATTTTTATTCCAAATTAAATAAAAATTCTATTACATATTGATACAAAAATAATTTTATTAGATTTATTATATAAAATATTTTCAAATGTATCTAATTAATATATAATATATATTTTATTTTATTATAGATGAAAGGTTGGGAATAGTTAATCAAAAAAGTTATAGCTAAACAAATACTCCGTACTTCGGAATGAAGGTAGTATGCATGATTAAGAAATCGAAGAAAATATAATACGATATAAAAATAAAATGAATAATGTAATAATATTTGCTCTTGAAAATTCTTCTGTTTACATTTGTAAATGGATATGTTAGTGTCTTATTTAAATCTTTTTTTAATTTCTGAGTTATACAACATTTTTGATAAAGTTACAAGAACTATCGGTGTCATCAAAAACTAATATTTTAAATCGTGTCTTTGTTTTTAGTTATGAACCAACAAATTAAATACTTCGTATAACCTTAAGTAAGCTTAAATACTGACTTCACAAAAAAATAATATAACAAAGGACAATGGCTTTGACTTTTACTTGCGGAAATAAAGTTATACTATAAAATTGTCTCTTTTGAGTTCCAATAAACCACCATCTTCTAATCAACATCATTTTTTAGAGAAGAGTGCATTGCCTTTTATGTAATTTTATGAATGATTATAACAATATTTGAATTAAAGAATAACAAAATTCAAGCCAATATTATTATGGCCCTGTTTGGAAAATAATTTTTCGGATAAATTTTGGCATCTTTGACTCACTTTGGCTTTTTTTACTAGGCGAACAGCCAAAACCATTATTTGGCTAATGCCTTTTTCAATTGACATTTTGATCCGAAAAGCCAAAATCTGAAATGTCAAAGAGATTAGCTTTTAGACTTGACTGTTAGAAATATTAATTTTTTTAAAAATTATTTCTCTTGAATGATATTTTATAATATATGAAAAACTAAAAAGAAAAATAAAACTTAAAAAAAAATTTAATACTCTATATAGTAAATATTTAATTTTTACATATAAAAAAATTAAAAATAAATATCGTGTGTGTCAATATATATATATATATATATATATATATATATATATATATATATATATATATATATATATATATATATATATATATATATAG